GCGGTTGTCCCCATTGTCTCATTGTCTCAGGAGGGTCCCCTGCTGGGACCAGATTTTTTTTCCTCCCCTGCCCCCATACCTAGGGATAGGAGCGGTTGTCCCCATTGTCCCATTGTCTCAGCAGGACTCCGGCTGGGCGCCGGGAAAAAGGAATCCCCCGGCTCGATGCTGATGTCAGTGAAGCAGTGCGGCCCCCGGTCTGAGTCGCTCAGCGCAACAACAACACCCGCCCACACCAGGCTCTTGCAAGCCATCATCGGGCTCGTCGCCTTGGTCCTGATGCCCACAGTCCTGCTGGGAGTAGTGAGCACGCTGTGCGGTCCACCCCTAGCAGCCCTAGCTCTTCTGATGTACGCAATCGTCGTGATCGTGCTGGTCCGCAAGTGCGGCGTCGGAGCAGCCTGAGGTCTGTCAGCGCCCAAAAAAAAGGCGCCGTGCAGGTAGTTCTCCCCCAGCGTGAGTGTCTAGGGCGGTGCGCGCTTCAACAAACTTCCGGAGCCGTGGATCACAGAACCGTAGCCGCCGCCCCGCGCCGTTTCCCCCCCCGTACTGGAGCTGGAAGGAGCGGGGGGGCTTGATGGGGGGCTGAAGTTTCTTTCCCGGAACCCGGCAGGTCGAGGCCATGCCGACGTTGCGGGAAACCTTCGCATCGGACGACAGGTCGGGCCGAGGTTCAAGCTGTGATGCCAGACCCCTTGCTGCGCAGGACTGAGCGACAGCGCCAACTCGGAGAGCTGACGCTGGGAGAGCTCGCCCAGCTGCAGAGCGAGATCAGTGTCCTCTTGCAGCGAAGGCCAGGTACACCTTTGAGCGGGTTAAATGAAGCCACGCCCCTCGGGAGGATCCGGATGCTCGAGGTCGTGGCCATCGACGGCCGCCGCGAGGATTTGTTTCCACAGCACATGCAGGAGTAGAAGAGTCCATTGGGTCCTCCTGAAAGAATGTTCTTGCCACAAAAAAGTATCTTGGGCGGTATGCACCAGAGAGGGACACCGGACGGAATGTGTCCACCGGGGAAAGAACCGGACCCCCGCCGCGGTGGCGGAGGGGGCAGAAGTTCAATTCCCGGCAGTCCGGTGGATTACTGCCAAGGTAGGGGACCCTAAACCCTAAAAAGCCTGAACTCTAAACCCGGTTGAGGGTTTAGGGTAAACCCCTAAACCCCTAGACCTAATCGACAAGGACGAGCTGGGAGTCGGAGACACTCCGGAAGAGCGCTGCGCACTTGCGTATGTCCAGAACGCCAGGGACCAGTTCAAGGGGTGTTGTTTAGGGTATAAGGTTCAGGGTTTTAGGGCAGGACCCTAAACCCTAAACCCTAAACCCTAAACCCTAAACCCTAAACCCTAAACCCTAAACTGGTATATAATGGAAGGAATCCCCATAGACCACGCGCCCCTCCAGATGAAGGTGCCAGGAATGCCTGGTTGAGCTGAATCTGGGTGTGGAGCACCTTTGGCCTCCTCTAGTTAAAGAGAGAGCTTCAGGGTTTTGTGCTACGGTAACCCTTGACCCTAAACCCTAAACCCTAAACCCTAAACCCTAAACCCTAAATCCTAAACCCCAAGTGTGTACGGCGTATGACTCTGCGGTAGGCGGCCGCCCGTGCGGCCCTCGCGGCATCGGCGCTAGCCGTTCTCCTGCAGCGCCCGGGGCAGAACGTGATGTCAGTTTCACCCTAAACCCTAAACCCTAAACCCTAACTCTGAAGGTTTGAACCGAAGGTTCGGAAGAAGGAGGCTGGTGAGTTCCTCGGTTTAGGGTTTAGGCTTTACTTAGATAGCCAATGGGAGAACTTTAAGCTTTTTGGCTTTATATATTAGGTCTATCCTAAAAACTTTGAACTTTTTTGGGCCTGGTTATTGAAGAAGAGAGGTTAGGGTCCTAGATCAGGTGTGTAGTCCTAGTCCCTGAAATTAGAGCCTAAACAGCCACGCCCCGAACTCAAACTGTGGGTGGAAGGGTGTAGGGTTTAGGGTCATGCAGTGTTCTTGTAGTCCACTTGCGATCCAGAGACTCCGAAACCCCTTAATCAGCAATGAAAGAATATACCTTAAATGATAAGAGAAATCCTAATAAGATTTAAGGTATGTTGCTTAATCAGCCAAGAAAGAGTATACCTGTGATTATAAGAGGAACCCCAATATACGATTTAAGGTATTTATTCCGTAATTTACGGTATATATTCGTTAACTTAAGGCATATGTTCCTGAACGTAAGCTATGTATATTCTTAATCTAAGGTACATATTATTTCAGGGCTTTGGAGACTCTGAGATTCTCAAGGCATCGATTGGGCGCTTCCAGGTCTCGGCGACGTGATGGGGCGTGGGCTTCGTTTAGGGTTTAGGGATTTAGGGGTTTTCGGTTTAGGGTGTAGGGGTTTAGGGTTTCGGTTTTAGGGTTTAGTGTTTAGGGCTTAGGGTGTATAGGGTTCAGGGCGGCATGAAAACCCAACCTCAGACGCCAATCAAAACCAAACACATCCGTAAGCGCCACAGGATGTAAACCCTAAACCATGTAAAGACCGCTATTCAATAGCAAACCCTTAACCCTAAACCCTAGACCCCAAACCCTAAACCCTTAACCCTACACCCCAAACCCTAAACCCTAAACCCTAAACCCTAATAACAAGCACCTCAACAGCGGGCCCCCAGTCTTCTAGCTGGCTTGGGTCGACGAGGTACTGGGCCGGCATATCCAAAGACGAAGCCGAGGACTGCCCTAAAACCGGTTTCACAAGTGTCTTCAGGGTTTAGGGTTTAGGGTCTCATACCCAGAGACTCCAAAACCCTTCGATTCAAGAATATACCTTCAAGTATAATAGGAACCGAAATACGATTAAAGGTGTATTCCCGTATGAAGGGGTTTTGGAGTCTCATGAGGGTGTTCATGGGGCGTATAAGGGTTTTTATAAGGGTCATGTAAGGGTACGGGTGGGATCTGATACCGTGTTCTATTGCCGAGCATTAAACTTGTGAGGGTGTGTATAGGGTTGTACCATGCTTTACAGTGTCTTGGGGGTGTTGAGCGGGATTCAGTGTACATTCCTAAACCCTAAACCCCTACACCCCTAAACCCCTAAACCCTAAACCCTACACCCTAAACCTACAACCCCTCTCGGTTACTGGCAGAGTTAGAGTTTAGCATCTGCTGGGGGTTACGGCTTAGGATGTTTGGTTTTCGGGTTTAGAGTAGTGCGCATTGTGATTTCAATTCCTCGTGTCGCACACCATGACTTAAGGTATACGTAAAGGTTCATGGGACTTAGTAACTAGGGTCGTAAATAAGGTAACCATACTTATAAGTACTTTTAGCCCCAATTAAGGTACTTATAACTGTACTTACTAAGTCCGATGAACCTCCAAGTAAGGTATACCGCTTCTTTAAGAGCATGAAAATTTCATTCGTGTTGGATACATGTTTACATATTTGTTATAATACAACCCAATAAGGATTAAACATGATCATTTTTAATATAGCCCCAACGGGGAACCAGAAAAGAGGTTTAGGGTTTTGGGATTGGAAGGTTGGCAGTTTCGGGTTTTGGGCTTCTTGTTCAGTATTTGGGGTTTAGGGCTTTAGGGTTTCGATTCGGGGTGCAGGGAGTTATAAATACTGTACTTATATAGCTTATAACCCCAATGAAGGTACTTACAACTCTACTGACTAAGTTCCATGAACCTCTAAGTAAGTCCTCAACCCGACCTCAAGCATAAGATGTGTTTTTTTGTTGTGATCGAAGCTAAAAGGGGCCCTAAACCCTAAACCCTAAACCCTAAACCCCAAACCCTAAACCCCAAACCCTAAACCCTAAACCCTAAACCATAAACCCTAAACCGCCACCTCGAGCTGCAGCTGCAGTCAGGACCAGGCGCGGCTAGCCTGCGCGTCTCGGCTGTGCCATGGACATCGATGGGCTTCTCATCAATCTAGGCCTGCCGTTTCGTAATGAACAGGTTTCCCACTAGTTTTCAAACCCTAAACCCTAAACCCTAAACCCGGTTCGGGTTTAGGGTTTAGGGTTTAGGGCTTTACTTCAAGGTTCATGGGACTTAGTAACGAGGGTTGTAAATAAGGTAGCTCTACTTGAAATTACTTATAGTCCCAATTAAGGTACGTATAACTGTACTTATTAAGTCCCATGAACCTTCAAGTAGGCCTGCCGTTTCGTAATGAACAGGTTTCCCACAAGTTTTCTACAGACACAAATGGGAGTTTCCGAAACTAAGGGGTACCTTATCTTGGGGTCCTTATAATAAGGATCCTACTATTTGGGGTTCTATATTAGGGTCCCCTGTTTCGGAAACTCACACATCACGGCCTGCTTGAAGAATCATAGGCAGCTGGAAGTCTGAGATGCCGTGATTGGGGTCATCAGTTATCGTGCTTGATTTTCGGAATGGTACTCAAAGGCATCAAGACAGCGAGCTTTTTGGAGACTGTTCTTTCTACAGCGTCCTGAGCCCGCAGACTTAACCCGACTCCTACATGATCGTAGTCTTTAGCCCGATGTGGAAAGCAGTGTGCGTGTGCGTGTGTGTGTGTGCCTGTGTTTGTGTCTACGTCTTTGACAGTTTGAGCACTAAAGCTGCAAACCAGTAACCTCGAAACCCACACCCTGGAAGCCGTCAGCCCTGAAAGCCCTTCGTAAAGCTCACACGAAAAGAATCGAGAAGCCCATTTCTAAACCCTAAACCCTAAACCCTTAGCCCCATTTCAAACAAGCCAAATATTCTGCAGCTCTTCTGCGCCGCCGTTCCTAGGAGAGCATCCGCTCCTATTCCTCGCAGGCTGGGTTTAGGGTTTAGGAGTTAGGGTTTCGGGTTTAGGGTTTAAGGTTTCTTGGTTTGGGTTTAGGGTTTAGGGTTTAGGGGTTTAGGGGTGTAGTTCGGGGGATTGATGTCGGCTGCAAAGGTTGTGAGCATTACGAGACAATAGGAGGGACCCCTAGAAGGGACCCCTCATCCAAATACCCTGCATAACCCGAATATACCCCGGAAACAGTCTCACAAAGCCCCTACATAACCCCAAGGGTTCCTTTAAGGGTCTCTCCTTTAGTCCCCTGAGTGAGCAGTAGCCCCAGAGAGCCCAATACCCCTTAATTCAGCAATATACCTTAAATTATAAGGGGCGCCTTAATATTATGATTTACGGTATATTCCNNCCTAAACCCTAAACCCTATATTATTGGGTTCTCTGGGACCTGAGCCTCCCAGCGCCTGCCCCAAAGGTGTTTTGGGAGGCTGGCCAGGCGGACGTGGGCCTTTCCGGCGCCCGGCCGCTCGCTGGGCAAAGCGTTCCACGGACTTCGGACGTACGGTTGATGGACAAAATCCTGCATGACCCAAATATGGTATAGCACCATAAACCCCATAGTTTAGGTATATAAGGTGATGCAGGATTTCGTCCATCAACCGTAGGACCCTAGATAGACCCTGAACGTTCGGCCCTAAGTCCCAGGCCTTAAACCCGAAGCCTTAACCTTAGGGGTACTTAGGAATAATTTTTAATCTTTGGTTACTATAAACCCTAAGAAGCAACTAAAATTATAATTTTTGCTAGGGGTCTAAGTTCAGTATAGTAACCCCTAAGCCCGAAACCCGAAACCCTGAACCCTAAACATAGGGGTGCTTAGACATAACTTGTAATTTTGGGTAACTGTAATCCCTAAGCAACTGCTACAATTTGTATTTTTGCTAGAATTCTTGCCAGGGTCCCAAGTTCAATATAGAAAACCCGAATGGCTGCGGGATTTAGGAATTTGTGGTCTAGGGTTTTAGGGCTTAGCGTTTAGGGTTTCAAGGTTTCGCGTTTTTTTAGTGGAGCTTGGGTTGGGATTTTCGAGGTTTGGGTTCAAGACTGTCTAAGTTTGGAGCGAGGTCTGGCGTCCACTGTTCAGAAGACTGGGTTAT